ATTTAATACATTTTATTTAATTGCTTAATTTTACTGTCTGTAGCTTTTCCTGGAACTGGGTTATATGCCTTTGTATGTATATTTATATTTCTCTACATCTATATCATCATTCACCTATGCACCTACCCACACGACAAGCCATCTAAACTATAGAGCACTGGAAACCTTGCATAATTTATTCCAGATTTTTTTGAAGCACAGGTGTATCAATAAAGAGATAATGAGGGTAAGTGTTTATATCAAGGTTAAAAACACATTTTTTCCAGAGTTAGAATTAGAGTTTTTGGCCACACTAAATTGTTTAAAGCAGAGTTCACATCTGCCATTGTATTTCTCAGTACTGAGAGGTTTTACTCTGATTGCTTAAATGCCACTTCCTTAGTTACGCTTTTGTTTATCCCCATGCATTAATTTCCACTCCCACTTCATACCACTCTTTCCTTTGCTGTATTTTCCAATTTTTAAAAATAATTATTGCTGGAGTTCTTTACTTGATGTCTATCACACTACTACATTATAAACCTCAGTGGGCAAAGACAATGTCTGTCCTGTTTATTTTACATCCCAAGGGCCAAGCCTGGTGCTTGGCGTAATGGTAAGTTCTCAGTGAAGGTACGTTGCATTGGTGAGTGGAGAAGGCTAAGGTAACGTTTACGAGTGGCAAATATTAAAAAAGGAAAAAGAAGCAGCAACAGCTACATGCCGTTACTGTATTTTTCTTCTCCTTGGCACATTTGGGTAATTATGAAATGGCTTTTCCCTTGGGTTACAGATTCACAGGAGAAAAACAATTCAAATGTGCAAAGTGCTCTGCAAATGTTTAACTTCACTTTGCAAGGATTATCAGCACTGGTTACAACAGTAATTTGAAATGAGATAAAGCTCTGTGGATCAATGCTGACAGGGCGCTCTTAGGCACTGTCCTGAGATCAATTGCCAGAAAGCAGATGTGCCAATCAATGCATGTGCTACCTGCCCACCTTGTACAAAGCATGAAACTTGACTTCATGTGTATCAACAAGCCCCTGCTTCCAACTAATTATAATCTAATTGGGAAGTTATGAGAATGCTAACTATAGGAAAAGATAGCTAGAAAAAAAGTAAATGACAAGTACAAGAGCAAATGATTCATATTACAGGCATTCAGAGAAGGACAGCCAACAGAAGTCTTCAGTGCTTCACAGCGCTGTGGGTCTCATCCATCAGATGGACAGAGAAGAGTGAGACGAGTATTTCTAGATGGAAAGAAGTGTATGGGCAAAGATGGGGAGAAAGAGGAAGTCAACAGCTGTTGAGAGCAATGAGCAGAAAAATTTGGCTAAAGTAAAGGGTTATCTGGAGAGAAGCAGAGAGACAGGTCATGGTGGTAGATGGACCCACAAAGTGCAGTCAGAACTATAGCGCTGAGGAGGCAGGGTTCACTGCTGCCAGCTTCTCTGAGGCCCCCACTGACACGGGGCATAGTGGCGGCAACATACAGGATTCCATGATGGCAGTATCTTCGTATTGCACAGCATTTGCTTTCAAAGAATTTCACCTATTACTGAGGAAAGACTTTTTTTTTCTTATTTTGCAGAGATGTCACTGCATGTCAAAAAATTAGATGAGTTTGTTGTTCAATGGCAGAGCTGTGATTCAAATCTTCATCTTTCGCCCTGGCATCTTGCAGACGAAAGCGGGAGTCATCAGAGTGAGGATAAAAGGGATGCAAGAAGGTGGCGAGTTGCTGGCCTGTGATAATACAGCCTGGAAGGCATGAGAACTGACTGAGTTCATGAGGACGGCACCAAGGGACTGGGCACTTACAGACCTTGTGACTTCCTGAAAGCTGCTCTCATCGCAGGTAAGTGAACTACTAATCAGAATTATTGGACATTTACACACGAAGCTGATCACACAACTATTACCAGATTTAAAATGATAGACTAAACCTTCTTCTCCTCATTCTTTCATTTTGCCAGAGAGCTATTACTGTTGCCTTAATTCACAAGAGCTTTAAAACTCTACTCATTCTGTAACTATTAGCTAATCATTTCTGAAGTCTTTATGGTCATCTGTTTCTAAAAATTAAATGGTTAATTCAGAGATTCTTCACTGCTCTCTTTTCACCAAGTATGTTTGAAGGTACTTGCAACCCACTTTATTGCCCTGCCTTTTACAATGCTCGTTAACATTTATTTTTATTCAAATACAGTAATCCTCATTCAAGCACTGAATAACTGACTCCCACTCCCACAATACTGTACACATTGTTAGCAATAATAGTTTTACAGTGCTTCAGAAATTTTACATAAAAGCCTTTTGAAATTATGCTCAAAATGAAGAATATATCTTTCTTCTTCCTACTGGTTTATCTTTTCCTCTCCGGAGAATTTTTTTCTTTTATGAAAATATTCCCAAAATGAAATGCTTCTATTCCCTCCTTAGAGATTGTGATCTACTCTAATGGTGAGTGAACACAGTGAAAGAATGACAAAGCCTCAAAAATATCAATGCACCAATGTCTACTGTTTTTCTAAGTGCATACCTTGTTAAATCAGAACCAGAGACAACAAAGGAATGCACACCTTATGTGAGAAAGAGTGATTGGTTTCAAGCAAACTGCTCACCTATGATGAATGGGAAAAGTCTGTTTTTGTGGAATGAAATCCCAATTTTCTTCTTTGTTTCTTATTGTTTTGACTTTTTAAAAAATTGTTTAAAAACCTGTGGGTATAGTACATGCTACTTAGTAAACGTTCTCTGTAAAGAAAATTACTTGTTTGGGCACTCCCTTCACTGGGTATGATGGAGAAAAAATTTAATGCCATAAAACAATAAAATGTAAGTGTTCAAATTTTATATACTTTTGGTAAATAACAGGATCATGGTGGAACATGCAAGATGACCTAGTGAGTTCTTGCATTCCTCAAAGTTACCACAGGAGAACTCTCTGGTACGACATGGAGAGCCCCCACCCAATAAAAGGGAATTAGCTCTTATTGGCTTTATACAAAAGACTTCAAGATTCAGATTTTGTCTGGGAAAAAAGTTTGCTTAAAAATAAAAAAGTTTCAAAAACATTGGCCTTGACTTTACATTTTCCTCTTTCTAATCAAATGTTAACCATGCTTTAGCATCCAGATCATATTTTACCTTAAAGAAGACCTTCAATGACCATTCTGGAAAATCACCCCTTGTTGAACATACTTCATGCTTGACTGCCTTAGTTTTACTTAATGACACTGTGTTTTCGATTTTTATTAAATCACCCAAATGTCTTTGTCAGCTGGCTTATAAGCATTTGACATGCTGAGAACATGTTTTTGTTTTTCTTTTAATTTTTCATGCTTCTTCCCCCCACAGAGCATGAAAGTAGAGCCTCTTCTCTAGACATTAGGAAACCAGAAAAGAGGGGACAACTCCCCCTCTCACTCTACCATCCATAGTTGTGACAGAAACCACACTGTGCCTACTGATGACCGTGCTCTTGGCCACAGAGGAGGGCTATCTGTAAGTCATGCTCTAGAGACAGGACAGTGCAGATGTGTCTGGGAGAGGTGAGGACCAGGAAGAGATGTGTGCATATGCAAACCACTGCAGTGCGCATGGTTTGCCTTCTGCAGAACTGCTGACAGATCAGAAGAGATGGGGGTCAGGGTCCAGCCCGGGTGGCAGGAGGTGAGAGTGCTAAGCAGGAAGGAAGGCAACAGCCCATTTATACAAACTGAGGACACTGCCCAGGCCCTTGGGAATCAGGGTGGCCAAGGCCTGCCTCAAGCCTGTCATACAGAAAGCCACCTACTACAGCTCACTTGGGCACGGGACTGGCTCCTAATTCCAGAGTTTTCAGACTGGTTCAGAAATGAGGCTGCCTTCTCCTTCCTCTCTTGAGCTAGCTAGCTTTGATCTCATGCATATTATTTGACTGCTTTTTCTTTTTTCTTTTCCATTTCTCTTAATCTCAGAGATTAAGCCCCACACAGACATGTGGTATATATAATAACCAGGGCAATGTCAACTAATGTTATGGCTTTTTCACATTTTATCACTCATTCTGCCACACCCACAACACTTCACATCATTTTCAAATAAGGAGATTACCCTGATGAAAACAGACAATGTATCCCTTACTCCTCTCTTCCCTACAGTTTGCAAACAGTGTCCTCTTGTTTCCTGGTCTCTTTGAGGAACAAAGGTGTGGAGTTGCAGAAAGGAAGTACGGAACAATGAACCAGATGTGGCTGACCCCCGATCATCACTACCTTAGTGAGTGGCGTTGGGCAAAGCGACTGGCCACATTGGCCCATTCTGCATATTAAAAATGAGACAAGTAGTGATTTTACAGCATCTTACTACACTGATGGACAGTGACTGTGAAGGGGTATGTGGGGGGGACTTGGTGAAGGGGGGAGCCTAGTAAATATAATGTTCTTCATGTAATTGTAGATTAATGATACCAAAATAAAAAAATTATAAATAAATAAATAAAATAAAATAAAATAAAATAAAATGAGTGGAAGGGTAATGATATATACACTTAGTTTAATTCAATTTTTAAAAAAAATAAATGGATATATACTTGCCTAGCACAGGACCTGACTCGTGGTACATACTCAAAGAGGCAATTTGAATTTCAAGGTATAGCTTCCTTTTGCCTATTTTTCTTGGTCCTTTACATGCACAGTTACACTATTCTGATTTAAATCCACATCCTTCTTACACAGAATGATTTTGGATTACTTCCAATCATTATTTCTTGCAAAGCCGGCATCTACCAGAGCAGTTGCTATCATCCTGCTATATATTAGCATCTCCTGGAGGGCAGTTACAAAGTAACGGTGCCTGGGCTCCACCTCTGACTAAGTGAGTATGTAACTCTGAAGGGAACCACAAAATCTGCATCAAATAATAAATGAAAAAGTAAAGGGGAAAAAAACGGCTAAAAATGCTTAACAAAATGAAATAGTGTAAGGATTATTAAGCATACAAGACTACAAGAGGGATTCAAAATCACTTACCTTTGTTATTGTACACATCTAAGTAATTTGGTGCTGAAAAAATTGTAATTAGAGAAGGGAAGCCTGTTGTTTGGCTTTTCCTATACATGCGATACCTAAAAACAATAAACACAAATTAAAACAGGGTTAGTATGGAAAAAAGGTGATATCAAATTATAGATTTAGAAATAGAAAACTGAAGTTGTTTTATCACTTTAAGATAATTCAATTACACATCAGTAAACAAATTTTCTTTCTAAAATCTGTTATATACAGACATCAGTCAGTTCATTTCAGGGATGACAATGAAAACATATAATCATATGTACAATTTCCAATTAGGTCTTTTCTAAGTTTAGCAGACCTAGGGGAGGGCAGAATTCAGTGCAAAATTTATTTCCATGTGTTCAACATAGAGGAGAGAGGCTACTTTTTGCACACAGATACCCTATGCTTACCATGTTTTTCAGAAGTTTGCCAATATTTTTGACATAAACAGCTTAAATAAGCAGGGCTATATATAAATTTTAGCACTAATAACCAGGCTATTATTCTATTTATCTACAACATTATTTTACAGTTGTATATAACCATTATGCCCAGGCAAAGTGATTTGCTTTTCAAAGAATGTCTGGTTAAATCTATGGGTTTTATGAATTAAAATTGTTTTTAGTTTAGAAATTTGTTTATTACTCATCTCTTCTGGTATCTGCAGGTCAAAGATCATTGTTTCATCAGGGTAATATTTAATCAATCAGTAATGAAAGAGACCATCTGCAAGATCTTTGGAAATAAACCAACCATCCAGTTACTTTTCTTCCCCTGAGATAAAAATAGGACTCGAGTCCTCAAAAAATCAAAAAAGTACAGAAGACTCTGGCTCTTTTCCATCAAGGTGAAAAACATATTTCATGATTTCTATGTAACAGATTTCAGGAATATCAGTTTAGAAACATTCTTAGCAAGTGCACAGCAAAATTTATTACTCCTTGGTAACCTGGGTCAGTTACTTCTGACAGCCTAACCATGCCTAATTTAGCTGGGTTCTAAAAGTGCCTCAAATAGTTACTTTGGATAGATCAATAGCCAAATTAAAATTTATAATTACACAAATATTTTGATGCTACTTTTCCCATATCCCCTTAAAATTCTTTAATTCTCTGAAAGTATTCTGCTTATGGGACTGAGCTTTGTTGGGAGACAAAAATCAGAATGTGAAAGATATCTGAAACCAATATAATGTTGTGTATCAACTATACTTCAATAAAAAAAAAAGAAAAAACATAGTTAACGCTTAATTCTAGTACCTTGACTTTGCAAACCTGGGCTGGTTACGCCTACTTGATGAAACCAAAGGAACTGGGTTACATGCTCTCAGTTTCCCCAGTGAATCAATCAGCTTCTCCTTTTAAACAAATACACTTGTTGGTTTTAGCTGATCCGCGGTATATTTTCAAATAAGCAGATGATTTCAGGTCTATAGTGGGATTAAGATAAATCTGCCTAAAATGTTCAGTTGGGACAGTCAACAAAAAACCATGGTGACATGGCTTCCTGAAAAAGTGAAAAATTATTTGAGGAACCTGAGTGATTGGGTTTCCTCAAACATCAGCCACAAAAGTGCTGATACATGATATCAGATCAGATCATACCTACTGATTGCTTGAAAAAGGCTAATTTGCAAAGAAATTTATGATCTGCCTTGATTCAGCTTCATCGCAGACATGGCTTACTTCAGAATGCAGACATCTATATTCCTTCCACATTTCAGCACACGTTATAAAAATAAATGTTCTTCCTTTTTGGAAAATTTAGAACATGAAGGAATGAATGTAAACATTTGAAGGCAAACAATGCCTTTCAGTGGTGCATACTGGGAAGGGTACTGGACTTCAAATCCTAAAATTAATTGTGCCTATGTCTCCCTAATGCAGATTTAATGCACCACCAAAGTGGTTATCTGATGTTACATAGTTCTCTAAACCCTTAAAAATTGATCTATGTTTTAAAGATTTACCAGGTATTAAAAAGTCATCTTATGCATTGTTAGTTAGAATATAGGACTTTCACCATCATTTAAGCATCTCTGCTTTTGTCCTTTAAAACTTTACAGAGATCAGGAATGATACTCTTAAGCAAAAGTGTAACATGCAGTATCTGTTAAATATTTACGTGTAATTCTCCTTCACCATGGCAACCAAGATGGAAAAGCAGCTGGCAATTTACTCACATATGGGACAGTGGTTAAGAGCAGGATTTGAAAAAATTAAGAAAAGGTACACAGTGTGTAAGAAAGTCAGCTGAAAATTTTACCTGTTCAAGCTAAAAATGGAAGAACTTCAGAGGGGGCTCTACAACACACCTGCTGCCATTCACTCCCCAGCACCCTGCATCTCTGCCTCATCAGAAGACCATTTTAAGATCAAATCCCGTCAGGGAAAGAGCCGAGCAAAAGGGAAGCCCCACTGCCTGAGCAAAGAGAGACCATGACAATGGGGCCAACCCTGGTTTTCAGAAACCCGCAAAACCGCTCACCCTGCATCCTGGGCTTCATGTGCTCGGAGTATAGATAACAAGTTATTGTGCTGCAGGAACTCACAGACAGCTGGGTAACTGCCAGAGACAAAAAGAAGAGAAACATCTGTTATGAAAAATAAGGAGTAGTACATCTGTCTGTAACATCCACACCTATGTGGTCTTATCGACCATAATCAAACATACATCATTCATGAAACGAGCCTCCTGGCTCTGAGGACAGGTTTTTCCCTGTAGCACCTTCATCCGTACTTTTTACATCATCAGAAAGGGCTGGAGGTGTGTGAATTGGAAAACGATCACAGGCCATTATATAAGAACACCAGGCAAGTGGCTACTTCGAGGGAAAATCAAAATTATCAAGTCTACATTTAAACACAAAGTGAATAAAAGCATAAATGTAACATGAAAATGGACTTTAAAATACAAAACTCTGTTTTCTCAAACACAGCACTGTTTGTGTCTGGGTACACATGTGTGCCAGTATGATCCACGGAAAGGACTGAGTTTGGGGAGTGGGAGAGAGTAAGTCTTCTGGGAAATCAACTTTTCAACTCATTTATGGGTACATTAACTGACTGCATCACTCAAAATCTAAACAAAATTATAGAATTCACAAGGTTTTAAAACATGTACTTTAAATATGATCAACAGAATTACTGAAGACTTATTCTTTATATCTTGACTTAATAAAAATACCAAACATAAAATCAAGATGATTTTGCCTCTTAAAATAATCTCAAAACCAAAGATGAGAATGTCTTACAAGTGAAATTCAAATTATAAACCACACTTGAAAAATCCTTTGCAATCACTTTGTCTCTGCTCTAAGAATTTTTAATGATATAAATGCATGCCATAAAAATGAATAAATTTTAGACAGTTCAAATCAAGAGACAGCAAAACAATGCTTGTTTTATTATAAACAAAATGCAGATATCCACTGGAACCTAAACTATATACACTACAGGAAACAATTCAGCAATTATAAAAATAGCACTTTTTAATAGTATATGGCACTCAAATAATTTATTATAAAAGAGAAGATGAAAGTAGTTTCAATGCTACAGATTGCGTAAGAAGTCCGTTATCAGTAGGAAAAAATCCCATGAAGATGGTATTCCACTGTAGAGATACTGATTGTAAAAAGCGTTCTGTTGCTTGGCAAAAGTGGGATCTGAAATCAGAAACTGTCTTCATGCATAGGTACATTTGTTCGTGTGCAGGTGTATGTGTGTTTTAGAATATTCTAGCAATTTGCTAGGGGGAGAAAACGAAGACAGATTCATGAGGCCTTTACTTCCTAGCTGTCCCAGGTTAACCCAGGATATAAACCATTTAACTTACAAACATTAATATAACTTCCTGATGAACATTAATGTAACTTATATACATATATAATACATATAAATGTATATAATATAACTGGAGAAGATGCCCCAGCATGTCCACATGGAAACATGTCCACATGTACCTACACTAAGAGTTGACTAACGTGTCTTCAATGACTTCTGTTCTACTTTAGGAGGTGAGCATACAACCTTTCCAGAGCAGTATGTGTTAACAAAAGAAACCTTAATTTCAGAGATGCTTGTTGGTGTTTAAAAAACGGCGTATTTGCTTGGTACATACCTATCTATAATGTGTCCACTCAATGGGTGGCAAAGCAGGGGTAGCACTCAATACATGTTCCTTCCTTTCTCTTTAAGCCATGTACTTATATTTCTTGTGCCCTCATAATGCTTCTATAAAGAGACAGTTAATTTCCTTGCTGTACCACTGCAATACAGAGGTTGTTTGCCTACTTTTGTCACTTTTTTGCCCTCAGGCAAATGGCTTGGCTGTTCTTTTTTTATTTATTGTTTCCTTTTGGAAGAACTTAACACTAGTCTTATGAAAGCATAATTTTAATATATTTTCTTCATGCTAAGTTTGATACCCTTACATGTTGAAGCTAAGTTTCCCCCCATGGAAATTACATCTAATTTTTGATGGAAATCTGAGGAAAGTAAATTTAACCCAGCAGCAATCTGCTAAGCTAAAAGCATGAAGTGATGAACACTTGCATTATTACTTAGAGGCAACTCAGTTTAAAGAAAACCTTCAGAAATTTAAAAGTATAAATAACCAAAGACTCAAACATTCTAAGAATTACATTTTTCTAAATGAATTTAGAAAATACACGAGTATCATCGAGATTCCCATTATTGGTGAACTACCTGCCTTGGATACAATAAATCTTTAATGATATTAGGGGAAAAAACTCACTGTAATATTTTATGTTTTTTTAATGGAAATGATGATAAATCAAAAAGTGTTCAATTTGAAAAGCATTTAAAAAGTACACAACACCTTAACACTACGGAGAGAGTTGGAAGTCACTACTTGCCAATCATTTATCACAGGCTCATTGGTGATTTGCTTCATTTGTAAGGAGATTGTACTATACACAGGGCAGGGTGGTATGATGAGTGTATGGTGTAGTTTCTGTCTTGAGGTGTTTATAATCTAGTAGGAAGGTAAGGTAAAACATTAAAAAAATTTTAACTACTTAAGAATAAAATACATTAAAGATAAAATAGTACAAACTATTATAGATATTATAAAGAAAGAAAGCACATGGGTTTGAGAAAATCCTGTTGAAAAATGTCTATCTCACATTAGATTTTTTTTTCCCTCCTCATCTTTGCATTAATAAGGTGAAATATCTGTGCTCTGCACCCATCAAGGAAAAAGAACCCTTCTCCCCCCAGGCTGGTCAGTCAAGCCTGGGCCCATGGCATTTTGAGCAGAGGGCTGGCCAGCTGGATCTCAGCCCCTCTCATACCCCTGCCAGGGCACCCTCATTACACATAAGCTGTATGTATGGGCAACCCTGGAATGCTTTTATTTAGCCTAGTGTCCTGAACATGGCTTGAAATGAGGCTTGCTGCAAGGCTGGGGCAAAGCCAGCAATGCTCTCAGTTCTGTGATACTCATTTAGCAGCGTGCACAGCTGTGTGTGGGGAAGAAGTCAGGGTATCTCTGAAAGTGCTTTTTGTTTTTTTCTTCTTCTATGGAAACATGCTTAGTTCTAAAGCACTGGAGAATGTATCTTCTCTAAGTAGAAAAGGAGGTGGAAATTTCCATGGAATAGTGGGAGTCCTTAGATCTGGGTTCTTTTTCCAATTTCCTGTGTAAACTTTGGAAAATTTCTTAACCTCTTTGAGCCTGAATCACCTCATTTGTAAAAATGCAGCAGTATTATTTACTTAGACTTGAGATAAAGATTAAATGAGTTGGCAATATATATAAATTTTCTAATCGAATGCCCAACTCATAGTAGCGGACATTTAACAACTCTTCATTTTCTCCCAGCCACCATGGTGTGGAAGGAAGCAGGCAGCACAGAATGGTGAGTCAGCAGCCCCAGATTCTACTAGTAGTTGTGAAGTTTATTAATTGTGACTTGTGTTAGATCTTAAAGGCAATGATGTATAGGATTCCTAGATAGGAAAGGGGTTACAATTGCACTGAGAGGGGGAAAGGGAGAGAAAGCAGACTGAGCATGAACAAAGGTCAAGAAGGTGGAAAAGACAAAAATGGGAGAAATGGTAGAACAACTGACTTGGCATGAGAGAAAATAGCTATTATTAGATGCATTCTCTTTATCTCCTTTTTTTGTTTCTTGCCATATTAAAATATATTTTAGATCTTGAGTTAAATCTCCCAGATTTCTGGCTCTTTGGGTATAACCAGCAGGCATGATCAAAATGCCTTTTTTATGCTTATGTGCTTTCACAAATACTTTCCCGGAGTATTATTTCCTCCTGGAAAGGCCTACTTTTCTGCTAAACCTTAGCTAAGTGAGCCCTTCCCTTCAAACCTACTTCAGCCTGAGGTATACAGAACTGCTACATCCACCATGTTGCCAAAACATATGTATCATATATCACTTGTCATGTTGCTGTGTAAATTATGTTTATACATCTGCTCTCCAGCAATAGCGAATGCCTTAAGAGATGGACAGGTTTGTCTTCATATCCTAAATGCTTATCAGCTATTTGTCAGCTTATTGGAGCTCACGCTTAATTGCTGGGACAGTTTTTCAACAGGGACAGTAAAGCGGGTGAGATACACAAAGGGTTTCTTTCCCTCATCGGCATCAGCATAGCAGAGGCAGACAGCCGGCAGTCCCTTGCTGAGGGACCTGGAGACAGCTTTCCCTGCCTCCTTCATGTCCTTCCCTTCTCTTTGCCCTGTGAGAGGGAGGACTCTGCCTGACCACAGACCTCCTCTCTTCTTCCAGTGCCTGGCAATGGGTCCTGAGCTCTGGGGGGTTCCTAGCACTGCCAGGATGCTGTCAAGCTACCTTTTTCTATGTTTTTTTTTTATGACTTGCTATGTTTTTTCCTTTGTCCCAGAATTCTCCCAGAATTCTTCACTTTACTCACTAGGGATCAAGTCTGGAAAGGCTCCAACTCTTCCTGCCAGACCTTCACCAGAACTTAAGTCCTCACATTGGTCTGGCTGTTGGCTGCCTCAGGAGTGATGAACAATTTTTACTTCATATTGATGTATAACATTACTACAGAAAACCGCCCCAATCAGAAGATTACAAATTGATGACCTTACACAAAGTGACACCTTTGTAACTAGCACTCAGACCAAGACTCAGAACACTGCCTGAACCCCAGGAACTCTTCCTACCTCCCTCAAGTCATTGTCACCTCCTCACTAAGGGTAACCTCCATCCTGGCTTTTAACATTATAGATTTTGCCTTCTCTAAAGTTAAACTCTTATTTCAATGGAATCAACTAGTACGTCAATGTGGGTTCCTCCACTCACCAGCCTGCTGCATGCAGTTATATAAAAATGCTGTAATTTATATTCATGCTATTAAGTGGATATTTGGGTTGCTTCCATTTCTTGGCTACTACAGATACTGCTGCTGTAAACAATCTTGTATATGCCTTTTGGTATATATTATGCACACATATCTGGTGGACATAAAAATAGGGGTAGAATCACTTAGCTATATGAATGTCCAGTGTTTGAGTATACTGAATCAGCTATCTGTAATTGGATTAGAGGTAAAGGGAAACCATTCAGATCAGACAGTCATCTTTCTAGAATTCCTAGTGTTACCTTTTTTCATGAACACCACCTTCCCTCCCTGCAAGAGTCTTCCTCCGTGACTCTTGGCTGCATATGTTCCACTTTTCCTTTAAAAGAAGGTCTAATAAAGCTTCCACCATTAGTAGATCCTTAAACTCCAATATATCTCTGGGTTAGGCCCCCAGTTGTATGTGTAAAATTACCTCTACCTTTATCAGACCTTCCCTTACCTTGCATTTTATTTGCCAGTTCTGCTTAGCAGTCTGCCACTAGCTTGTCATCCCCTCAAAGGCACATATAGTAGGTGATCAGCTAATATTAAGTAATTGAATTCTCAAAGGATTCCCATCAATGAAACAGTATGATTTGGGGAGATGGGGAGCAGGAAGTATATTGTGAAATCAGGTGTGATTTTAACAAACTACAATGAAGGTCTTGAACTCAGAGTGTGTGCAAAGAAGGCCAGATGGTGTAGATGCCTGTGATATTTTGAAGAAATGGTCAGTAAGACATGATGAATGATTGGTGGTGATTTCAGTGCAAGAAGAAAAAGCAAAAAGCAAAGATATTTGTTAGTCTGCATGACCAGGAGATAGATTGTTAATGGAAACAGACAAAACTTGGAGGAACCCGCAGTGGGGATTAAATAAGTAGGGAAGTAATTAAGTGTTTTCAGGCAAGGTGAGTTTAGGTTAAGACTATAATGGAACATCTAAATTAAAAACTCCAGCAAGCAAGTAGAAATAGAGAGTTCAGCTCAGGGAAGATAAAGAGATGAAGGAGCTAGATCCAGTAATCAAATCACAGAGTTTATAGCTTACAGTTTGAAGTTAATGGAATAGATAAGGGTCCAGAGAATAGTGTGAAGAAAAAAATGTTGAAAGCAGGAGAGAGACAAAGAAAGAGACACCAGAAGAGGCAGGGGTCTACTTGATAAGTCAGAAGAGAATCGGGTGAAAAAGGGAGAACCAGAGGACTGCCAGGTGGCTGATAAGAGTGTCAACTGCAGGAGAGAAGCTGGGGGAGTATGTGACTAGGAGAAAGGTGGCTGGTCTGGATTAAGAGGCCAGTAGGGATCTGAGTGAGCTGCAATTTGCAGCTTCAAAAACATTTTTAAAATGACTGTCATGATGTTCTTCAAATCTCTGAGCTCAGGGGAACTTCAGAATGCCTGATTGAACTCATTCCTTTTGACGCAAGCAAATCTAGAGCACAAAGCTTACGTGATTCATTCAAGGCACACACGCAAACTGACAGTCCGAGCCCACATCCAGCCTCTGGGTGCATCTGGTCTACAGGAAAATGAAATTTTTACCTCTCAGGTGTCATACGCCTCACTAATATTTACAATCTAACACTTGGCCTGCTTCAAATATCCCAAATACTTGCATGAACACTACAGGTAGGTGAGTATGCAAATTCTGGCCTACAGTTATAAAGACGATAGTAGCAATGGGGACAAACGGTTCTAGGGCTTCTTTCCTTGCTGTCACATTGCTGATCCTCTATAACTCATGAACAGCACTGCCGAATTCCTACTGATGCATTCTTGTATACAGCTTCCTTTTATTTAAAGCATGGCCTAGATAAAACATATTAGACCATGGATAGAGTGGCACTGCAAATTAAACAAATTAGACTTGGTAGACTTGGTACCCAAATTTCCAAAACAGACTAATGAATTGTAAACTTTCTGATAAATAAGGTTGGAATAAAACTCTATATAAACATGGAAAATTAAACTGGGACTTATGCATCAAAGTAACTGCTACTAACTCAAAGAGCCATTGTCATCACGTTTCTCTACCAATTTTATTGTTCCCTTGTGCCTCTCCGGAGCAGCTTGATAAACTATGACCAGGGAGTGTGCTTTGACACCTTCAATATGGCACTAAAGACAAAAGAATTAAAAACCTCTAAGAGAATCAAAGGGTCATTTTCTCTTCCTGAATAAAACCTAATCCATATTGCTTTGCCATTAGTTAAGAGTTGATAGGCTGTGGATTTAGTTAGCAACTGTCATGGCTAAAGATTATTATCCATTAAGAAATTCTAACGAGAGGAGTTAAATAATCATTTTGTTAAGAACAAAAGTGTGAAAACATGCATAATTCTCTAATTATCTGATTGATAGAATATCTCTGGTATAAACACATCTGTGTCTATATTCACAAAACAAAATTATTACAACTTTATGTAAGTTCAGTACAGGACTTTATTTAGAATATGGCTTAAACAACTGACTCATAAAACTCTCAGAAGAATAGTACACTATGCATTAAAGAAAGATTCATGCAATATCGCTCAATATCAAAATCAAGAGGTTTGGGTTTGTTTGATATTATATTATTGCAGCACAACTCAGTGGTACAAAATAGGTAATTTAAACAATCCTGGTATTATTAGAGATTTAATACCAGATTTGGAAAATGGAACACTTGGTTTTGACCTAGTTCAAATATACTTTTCACTAAAAGTTTGAACATCTTTAATAAAAGATTACTCCCCAACTAACTAATTACTGAAAAGAAACCTCAGGCTTTTCAGAAATACTATAATATACCATGCTTCATTAGTTTAATCAAAATAGACTCAGTAGACTTGGTACCCAAATTTCCAAAACAGATTAATGAATTGTAAACTTTCTGATAAATAAGATTGGAACAAACCTCTTTATTTATATTTACATCAAAAACTATTTTTTGAATACTTCTTTATAGTGTACAAGACTTTTCTGTTCACAAACTTAAATTTCTCAGTCACATTAACAGATGTATAAAAGGAAACTTTTCTCCTATAAGGAAATAACAATGCATGGAACAAAATGTTCTACTCTGAATAAGCTCTGATCAATGTTATGTAGAAGGAGGATATCTCCTTGTTCTAGAGACAGAAGATACAGGCCTGGGTGCAATTAACATTCTTCCAGCCTTGCCAGGGCTGCCAGGGCTGGAATGGAGCATAAACTTCAGTGAACATCAGGTTTGGTGTTTAAGTTTAAAAACAAAAATTGACTATGCATTCCAGAGCTTAAAATTCTCAACTTCTCCATGACCTCTTTCCCCCACCATTGTGGCCACTGTCATATATACTGTGTCTGATGATAAGGGGACCTAGTGAAATAGAATAATCAGATGCAGGAGGCTACAGTTGGAGTGAGATGTCAGGAAATCATGAGGACACTCAAACAGCCAACTGTGATGCTGATTTCTTTCTGAAGTGCTCCGAAATAGGGAATGGGCAAATCCCCATACATTGGGAAATATAAATATTGCTATAAAAATGTTTTCAATGTGGCTTGTCAAAATGCTAAAGATAAGTCTACTATGATACCTGTATATTGGGTTGTTGCTAATCTTAATTCATCCAGGAAGTCCGATATATTTAAGGAAATTTAAGAGGAACTTGAATATAATTTAATTAGCCAATTAAAGTTTTTTTCCCATTTACATTAAGAAAACAGGTAAAAAAATTTTTCAAAGTGATAACATAATTGTATTAAAAATTAAGGTGGGCATTGGATTTTCTGCTGCATTTCTGGGATAGAACCAATTTTCTATTAAATCCTACTATCTTCTTCAGCTGCCTCAACACCCCTGACACTACATGCCTCTTTTATGCCTTGTCTGTCCTTCACAGATATTATATTTGTGTATTTATTTATTTACTTATATGGTCATTTTCAAAGTGTGAAGAACCCATTTGAACCAGGCTTTCAAAGTGAACCTTTCACTTATATCTCCTTCCTAGAGAAATTATCCAAACGTCCTAAATAAATCAAACACGTGGACCAAGAAACTACAATTATGAACCGAACGTGCTGCAGAAGCTGAGTCCCACACCCTCACCTGTAGAAGTACGAACACCCCCTGACGGTGTTGTGAGTGAAATGTTCCTGAGTCTTCTCGTTTCCAAAATCCTCCAGGGGGTCTGACCACAGGATATCACACATAGGTCCATAAGCAGGTGGTTCTTTGAATCGGTCTAACTAAGAAAAGTAGAAGACAGAGAGCAAAATACTAATCTTTGGAAACTTTGAAATAATTCATAAAACAGTAGAGTTCATCCATTACCTACCTGCCTTCATCCATCTAGCCTTTACCTCCCTCTCACCTCTTTAATTCCCACTCTTCCCTCCCTTTTTTTCCCTTGCACCTACTTCCCTCTTATCTTCCTCTTTCACTCCTTCTCACATATTTCATCTCTCCAAGTATTGTAGTCATTTCCACTTGATGTGAATCTATCTGTGTTTCATTTGTTGAGGCAGGGGCTTTCATTTCATTTTGTCTTTGGGGCAATTCTATCACTGCCGCCATAAACTGTGATTTAGAAATCTGGATGGGGAACAATGTATGGTATTTATATTTAACCAAATCATTTGGAGAATAGACAGCTTTCATTTTAAGAGTAGCCACTTGCCATATGACATTTTGGATATTTCATTAGGAGCTATGTAGGTTTCTAATCAAAGTACAAGCATGTTGTAGTTTATCTTACTGGGGACAAACCAAGAGTAATGACAAGCAGTAACATGAACCCAAACTGAGCTGGTCATTCTTCAGCTCCCAGTTTTAAGCTTTTTAGTTTTTACCTGAAGCCTTCATGTGAAATCCATTTTCCAGCTATAAATGTTTAGCAAAGTCATATTTTAATTTAAAAAGTTGCTTTTAGAAGGCATGAGCAACATAATAATTGAAAATGACATTTTACCAATAATTTTATAACACTGTCACCTTAGTTTATCCTGATTTAGCTGCAGTTAGGAGTAAGATCTTTGGTGAAGTTAGCAGATCTTATAAAGTCTCCTTTAAAAAAGCATAAAATAGCTATGAAAACCCCTTAAGAATTGATATTCTTCATATTCAGAACTTTAATATTTTTTAATAACTCATAGGGAAAGGTGAATATATAAGGCTGACAGCCTATCAATTTTCTTTTCCTGAGACATAAAACGATGTAAATAATAGTTCTGTTACACACCAGTTTTTACTAATATCTAAAAATAATGAAGCAATATTTCACATTTTCAACACCCAATGAAAAACTTCAGTAAGACAAGACCCTCTGTGTTTCAACCATTATATTATCCATAAAATAGGTATTGCAAACTGAGGCTTGTATTTAAGAGATTTAAGTAATATATACTTCTAGAACAATTCATATAAGAAAAATAATGCTGGTTCAAATGCAAAATTTCTTTCTGAGAAACAAGAACTTATGGGTAGAACAAAAAAGGAGGGGAGACTTTGTGATTAATGTGAATTCCCAGCTAAGGTTTGCTAAGGCAACTGGAGTACAAAATTTATTCCAAAAAAGTTACAAAGTGCATTCTAAAATTAATAAATTTACAGTAAGAATAAACAACTACCAAATTAATTAAATAATGTAACTGTGGTGGCAGTACTAATTGACATATGGTAAAATGCAAACCTAAAAATCATTTTATGGCTAAAGATTAATGACATATATGAAAATTCAATGTAATATCTGAAACATGTCAGAAAGTAAATCTTGGGGCTAGAAGATTATGTTTTAAAAATCTTAATTTATGATAAGAAGTTTAGTTATTTATTTCAAGAGTCCAACAGATTGGAAAAGAATAAATTGGTTACCATTCATGCAGAAAAGTGGACTACTTTACACTTAAACGCCATGCCTATATTTCAAGGCCATGTTTCTCTATAATACTTGAAATATAGAGCAAATACCAATGATGTATGTGCTATAGAACACCGGGAGTAGTCGTGTCTTATAAAAAAAGACACAAAGCCACAGAGCAGAAAGCAAAGGTTTACTTAATATACTTTTCCTTGATTTTAAAAATAAAAATCATGCACTTCCTTTTTAATAGGAGAACAAATACAGTATTATTTTTATACTTGAAGACTTAAACCTTAAAAATAGCGTATTAAAGTAGAATTTAATGTTTTTTTTCCCTAAAGTATAGTTTTTCTTTAAAAAACAATGGACTCTTATAAGAACACTGAACATAACCAATGAAATAAAAGATTATCTCTTCTACTACATAAAACTATTCCACATTACATTTTCTCATGAAAAAGGTACTTCCTCATGATTTAACTCATTGTTTTGTTGGCTAAAACAACAGAAAAAGGCAATGTTAAATTAAGTAGAAAAATACCTAAATGAACTGTTTTTTTTACCTAGTGCTCAATACAACCAACAGAATATAATCAATGCTTTTGTTTATACTGTTAAAATGTTAAGCTGTAAAAACTATAGATTTTTTTTTAAATGACAATATGGACACATTTTAAAGGTCAGGTTGTGATATTTTCCCAAAAGCAAAACAACATTCTTGAACTCTAATATACCATGTATATACTATGGGTTGTTTGAATCAAGCCAAGGGCAATGAAAAGCTGTATTTTTTTAGGAATCATATATTTTACATTTCCAGTGACACTAAGATGAACTCTGAGGTTTTAGAGATAAAACCTCTTCGAAGTATAAATACATCTTTCCTTCTAGATTAAAAAATTATTATAAAGAAGAATTCATGACCACTTTAAATCACTATAATTCAAAATGATAAAAGTTAGTAAGAAAGGCAGGGAAATTAATGTCTTCTTTATTACTGAAGCCCACAGCATGATTAGAGTAGAAAAATAACAGAACTTACTTTTCTGATATCATCTAAAGTGTTAATCTCTGGAGACAAACCACCGTGTACACACAGGAACTGCTGGTTCATCAGGGCAGCCAGGGGCAAGCAGTCAAAGGCATCCATACAGGCATCGTAAACACGTTCTGAATACTTTATTTTACCTTGTAAAACATGATTAAAAAACAAATATTTACTCTCCTGATTTCAGAGCTAGGATCATTTCATTAAAAAAATTTTTAAATGTTTACTTTCCAGAATCATATTATTAGCATATATGTATACACAATGCAAGTCCAAAACATTGAATAAGACTTTTTGAAGAGATATATGCCAGTTTCCCCCACTATCTGAATGTACAGTGTTCCTATGAAACTGTTTGTAAGCTGAAATGGCATACAGTGAAAAAGCAATTACCATTCATTTATATAGAGCAATTTTTGAGCTTTCACAGATTGAAAAAATAACCTCTTGTAGACTTTCCTTATACATTGGGATGCATCTTGCTAAAGGATGCTCAGAATAAACTGAGATAAAGCACAGATGTTCACAGACACAGTCAGTTACGGTGCCTTGATGCCGCCATGCTGAGTGTGGTTCCTGGGAAGGGGCTTGATGCCAGCCACTCTCACTACTTGGCGTGCACTCTGCCTCTACACTGGCTGGCTGCAAAGCAAATGGTGAATACCAGTTTGGCATTTTGCCTTTTTTTTCATAAAAATGAAAAATATTCTTTGGATTTCTTTTGGTTAGCAGAAACAGGTACTAATACAGGTCTTTTGTTAAAGCAAAGTGATGTACTCAAACTTTCAAGAAGTGGGAGATACCCGTATTAAGCTTAATAGCTACTGTTTTTTGTTGTTGTTCATTCATATTGTACAGTTCTGGGTAACTTTTTATACATATCCTTGCTATTTATCTGTGATGTATCTCAAAAAATTATATACAAACAACTAGGAGACCAACAGAAAGATAGTTGTAAAGCTTGCTGGTTTTCCTGAAGGATTTTATAGAAACCAGATGGCAAGAAATTTTCTAGTTGTTTCTGCATCACTGCACATTGTTTTTCCTTTATTGACTTACATCTACTATTTTGAGAGACGTTGTTATATACCATTGAATATAGGACTAAATGACAGAGAGAAATTTAAATTTCACTGGGCAATAAAGAAAATTGAGGGGAGGAAAATTAAATTTATATGAAGTACTCCTCACTCCAAGCATTTATGTTTGAAGGAAGAAGTCATCTTGAATTTTACAAAATTCACTATAGGCTAGTAAATCTATTGGGTCCAAAAAGAGAGGTAAGAGGTTGACTCTGCCCAACACCTGCTTTTCTTAAGTAATTGGAGATTAAATGGTAGGGCTTTTATCTCAAACAGAAGTGTTCTGTTTTTGTTTTTGTTTTTAATATTTAATCGTGTTTCGTAGGATAAATTACATTAATACTAATTCAAATTTTAAACACTTTATAGTGAATTTAAAACTTAAAAACAAATTCTGAATTCTCTTAACTGTGCATACCTAGAAAAAAAATGAAATGACATAAAATAGTATCACTTTAAAATTTTTTGACTTTTAACCAGTGAATCATGCTCTTAGTATAGATTAAAGTGACTTTAACATACAGTGTTAAAGTAGGAAGCTTTAAAGGATACTCACATTCTTGTTTAAACGTAAAATACTCTGTTAGATGTCTACATTCATGATTTCCACGAAGTAAAAACAGTGTTTTGGGGTAAAGAATTTTCAAGGCCCACAAATACAGCACACACTGGGGGAAAAAAAATAGAATAATAAAAAGTAAATATTTTTCTATTATGCCTCAGCATCCCATATCCATCATTCACATAACAGAAGACATGAAACAAATGTGTGACTATGACCACAAGTCCCCCAAAGGCTAGGCTTTATTTAGCAGGATACTGAAAATCAGAAAACATAACCTTGATACAAAGCCAAGGTTCATCTCTGCTTGAAATATATACATATACTGAGGATCTATACACCAGAAGGAAACAATGGACTGCACTTCTTCTTTTAGAAGAAGTCTGAATGAAAATATACCAAGAACGGAAATACGGTGTAAATGTATGAGAAAAAATGTGATCGGTAATTAAAAAATTAAAGATACTTCTCTTTATAAAGCTGATTATTTTTAAAAAATCAGGTAACAGAAATGGAAGAACTGGAAAATAAAGGTAAGACAATTTGGGAGCCAAAACTGACAAGCTCAGGCTGACTCAGACTGTGTCTCTTATTTTCTGTTACATTCTCTCCTTCACTGGCTTTCTTCTCTCCCATTACCTTGCATTTTATTTTTGTGTCTTTGGTGTAAAAAGCTTAAGATTTTGTTTTGGTTTATATATAAGTAAGTTAAACTGAAGGCCAGGCACATCTGAGTACATATGCTGCTTTCATAACTATGGGAAACTTTTCATATACCTTAAAACTCTCAACTTAGTTACTTGGGGATTGTACTTCATGTAAAAATGAGGACTGTATGAATTCACCAGGTTTGGGATAAACCTACATTGACCAGGTCTTCCTGGAGCGTGTGCTGAGATAACGGGCACATTCAATTACTCACATCGCCATCATTATGTTCAATTGTCATTCATGAAGAACCCACAGGAAACTGAAGGTCATGCTTTGAAAACATTTACTCTCATTACATTTATGTTTTAAAAGTTTAGCTAAGAAATACAGAGGCACAAAAATACTGAGACAAGTCTGATTCTGGTTACTAAAATCTTAAACCAAAAAATACAATATTTATATTTTTATAAAGCATTTTCCAACATAGAGTAAATATGCTAGATAATGTTCTTAAGGAAAAGCTACTGGCAATTCATTCATTGTGATACCAGTGAAGAATAATTATCTCTGTCAGCTTATATGATAATTTATAAAATGAGTAGAAATGTTTGAATATACAGTCCAAGTTTTGGAGAAAATACTAATTATTAGAACAAGCATGTATTACTGTGCCTCCCAAGCAAGATATTATCTACAACTATATAATTATGTTTGAGGTAGATAAAAATAATGGTTTGACATCAAATTACATATGTACACACACACACATATGTATATACGTATATGTTACTTTAATTTTCTAATTATTACTTTCTGATTATAGTTATTGGCTGAAGTTCATGTGACAAATCATATTACTATTTTTGCAAAGTTGAGCAAATGGCCTATACATGTGATCTTTAAAGCATCATGATCTGTTGTTGATATGTGCAAAAGTTCCCTGTTATCCCGGTGAATAATACCATGGCTCAGTGAGTCTCCAGTTGCAATGCATCAGGTTTTATAGGTTCACTTACATGTTTTCATAAAGAGTTTGTATTATGCAAACC